GCATGCATGAGGCACTGGGTTTGATCCTCAGCACCACATAAAAACAAAATAGATATTGTGTCCACCTATAACTGAAAAATAAATATTAAAAAAAAGAAAAGGAACGGAATGGCTCTGATAATAAAGCAGTTAATCATAGCCCTCCTGATTATTCCAACACCTTTTTTTTTCCATTTTCCTAAGTTTAAAATAGATCAAAATCTATTCTCATCACAACTATCTTATGGGAGGGGAAGAGACTCAAACATGGCCAGTGATACTCAAGTAATCTTCAAATATTAGGACTTAACATAATAATAATTTTAAAAAAAGGCAGAACACAATGGGTAAGTTGTTTTGGTTTGAATCCTACCTACCCAACTTGCCACATGAATTTAAGAAAGTTACATGGCCTCTCTGCCTCATTTTTCTCACCTGCAAATTGAAGATGTCAGACCTCAAAACTGTCAGATTCTAATTACACCTGTGCTTGACACCTAATAATTTATTAAGAGACAGTTTTTAAGTGATTTCCTATGAAGGCCTTTTTAATGAAGGCTTTTTTAAGCAGAAGGAAGGGAATGAAATACACATTTATAAAACTTTGTCTATTAAGAATCTAAACAGGGATCACCTTACTTTTCAAGGGGTGCCTTAACTCAGACTTCCTAACTTCTAAATTTTCAATCATTTGATTGACACTGTTCTGGCTAGATCCAGAAAGCACTCCTATGTTGGGAAAACAAACAAAAAAGTGGCATTAATAATCAGGGATCTAGTTCCAGTTTTGCTAACCAATTTAGTTGTATGACCTCAAGAAACTCAAGCTTTCTAAAATGGGGGTGTGGGGTGGGGTGATAGAGAAACATTAAAATTTCATGAGTCCTCAAAAGACAACTTCAGATGATTCCCAAGATTATCTTCCTATAAGGGAAGAATGGGAGAGAAAAAGACCTCAGTTAAAGTAGGGTTGACAAAATTAAATCCTATAAGAGTTCTTTCTTTATGAGCTCCATGAAGGCAGAAACAGTATCTTATTATCCCTGTAATTCCCTCCACTGGCACATAGAATTTACTCAAAATGCTCATCTATACATGTACTGTTGAGAACCAATTGCACTTTGTTGGAGCTGTCCTTATACAACTTATTTAATTCTTAGATGTTTTCTTCCCCTACCTTATGCCATACACTTTACCTTTCCCCATTTAATCCTCACAATAACCCACTGCAATAGGTACTATCACTATTCCCATTTTGCATATCAGGAAACTGGTCCGAAAGACTAAGCTGGTTATCAGAGGCTCAGGCTTCAGGGCTCTGTCCTGGAGGCAGATTCCAACCCAACTATTTTACTTGAAAATTTTCTGCTCTTGAACTGCACTGAATTACACGTCCCATGAACACTCGGCAAATAGGTGCTGAGAAGGAAAAAAGAGACAATAACAGATTTAGCTCCATGCAATCTGTTATGATAAAAATATTTATTCTGGGTGATGGCGGTCTGCCAAGAGGCTAAGGCCCTCTTTTTTTTTTTTTCTCAGAACTGTAATCTCTGGAGAGGAAGGAAATAAATCGGAAATACATGCCCGTGGAGCTGACTGCTCTGGCAAACCAAGAGGATCAGCAGAGTGGGAGAGAGGCAGTAACCAAAGGCAGAGGGCATTAAAAATATCAGCCACGGAAGGGCAATTCTGCAAACTCTTTAAAAATCTGCTGGGGAGCAAAAACTGCACAGAAGCCGAGAGACAGGGTTGTCTTTCTTCAGTTTTAGTTCTGCCACTAAGAGAACCGTAATCGTTTACTCAGCTACAACTTCTTTCTCACGTGAAACACCGGAGTGATGATATTTAAGACCTGCCTTCAGCACTCGGATGGTTGCGATCAGAGGGGTCGAAATGGGATGACCCAGATGAAAGAGCCTGGAAACATTTCCTTCCAAGTCATCCCTCCAAGGGCTGAGCCGGCAGGGACAAGAGATGACAGATCCATGCTCCTACCGCCCACTCCAAAACACTCGATGGGAAGGGAAAGAAAGGCCCCCTGCAAGAGCAGTACTCACTGCCGGACAACGGTCAGGGCGAAGCGCGTCATCCTCACGTGGTCGGGGGGAGGTGAAGCAGTGGCCTCAGCTCTGCGTCCCAGCCCCGCGCGGCTCCTGCACTGCGGGATCACCTCGCTCACACCACTTCCGCCACTCGACCGGCTGCCGGCTCCGCAACCATAGGCGGAGGCGGCCTCTTGCGTCATCCCCAGAAAGCCAATCAGAGCGGCAGGAGACCTACAGGTCTGTGGAGACTGGGGAGTGGTGAGGCCCCGCCCACGGCCGTGGCGCTTGCGCTCCTGCGCGCGGGTCTGTGATTGGCGCGCAGCAGGTGCGTGAGGGCCCCGCCCTCAGATAAGGCTGTGGGATTCTTGGTTTGCTTGCCGCCTGCAGACTCGGGACAGAGATATGAAAGGCTGTGATTTTTGGTTGATCAGATTGGAGGCTGGGATGCAACCAGTAATCTTACGGCTGGGCAATGTGGTGAATACCTCACGATGTACAGAGCCAAATTGCATCTTCTGAGGTTTAAGCTGTTAATCCCTAATATTGGGGTAGGAAGGTCAGCAAAGTGTTCAGATTGAAACGCACTCAGTTTCATTCCTAATTCTTCCTTGACCAGTCTTGGCCCTCTTTCTGAGTTCAATTCCTGCCGAGCCCTGTTTTACCAAAGAATCCTGCTAAGCCAGTTTTTCAGAGTTCCCTTACCCTTGATATTCAATCAAGTTCCTCTTTCTGCTCACCCTTCATTACCTTACTAAGTTCCTCTTTAATGGTTTTCCATCTCCTCCTGCATCCCTTACATCCTGCCTTGGCTGTAAATCTCCTCTGTTGTTTTCAGACTTGAAGTCAGTTTGTCTCCTCTATTGTAATAGTCTTGATCTTTTTTTACAGTGGTCTTGTATAAGTCTTTCTTCCCTTTATAATAAATATCAGGTGAATAATTTCTAATGTTCAGAATCTTGATGAATTATTGAACCTCACTAGCCCTCAGCCATATGACAGGTAAACTGGGATAACAGTACCTGGCCATGACACAGGTAAAACTTAATGTTAGCTTTCATGCATTTTTACATAAATAAATATATTTGGTAATGCATTTATCTCAAATCCTCAATTATATTTAAGAACATGAGATTAAAAAGAACATGGGACTAGAGGAGTTAAGTGATACATCAGACAGATTCACAGACGCACGTTTCAAAACAATTTCACAATGTATTATATCTGTGATAGATGGAATAGGTGGACTGCATTATCTTTGCTTAATAAATGAGAAATCTGGGCTGCAGAGAAACTAAAGCAATTTATCTAGGTTCATGCAGCTGGTCAGTTGTAAGTCCTCAAACCTACCTATCAGAATTATCTACTGACCTTTTGAATACCAGGCTGAACTCCAGAAAAACTACATCTGAACTCTGGGGGGAAATCCAGGCATCAATATTTTTTAGTCCCCAGCTGTTTCCTGTCTGAAGAGCTAGCAGTTTTCAAGCAGTGCTCCTCAAACTTGAATGTGCATACAAATCATCTGGGGATCATGTTAAATGCAGATTCTGGTGTTAGGCAGTGTTACAGAATGCTAAATTCAGCATTATCCAACAACCCTCAAGTAAACAGGAGGCATCTTCAGGATGAGGTTAGAGGTTGGAGGGAAAATCTTGAGTGGGGCCCAGAATGCGGGCTTATTTCCTGTATATAGTAGCTTTTCCGTGTATGTGTTTTGAATACCTCAAAAAATGACTCAATTCAACAGATTCTTCTGAAATTTTTTCAGTGAAAAATGAAATTAGTTATTTTGAGGACTGATGCAGGAAATGATCATAGAGAGAAACCACAAAACAGAGGGCTAAGAGGGGGCATGTAGACTGAAGTTATAAAGAAACAAACCATAAATAAGACATGTCTGAGGACAGATTTAGAGAAAAAAAGGGTAAGAACAAGCAGCGGTAATGGAAGAACAATGTAGACACACAGAGCCACAGACACAGGAAGGCAAAGAGTCTCTGGTGACTAGTACCTTGAGCCACTATAGTACCAGATACCTTGTAGGAAAGAGCACTTTCTCTTAAAGACGGTCTAAGTAAATTTCTAAAACCTGAATAAAGACATTTCAGGTCTCATTTAATATAATAATTCTGCAAGGTAGAAGTTGTCATTTCCATTTTACAAGTGAAGAATTATGGCACATAAAGGTTAAACTCATTTCCATCCCTCAAGATCCCATCTCTTTGGTATCTTTGATATCTGGTATCTCTGATGTTCCAGGTGGTATCAAAAGTATAAGCCATAAGGATATGTACTGGCTCCATTTCCTTAGTTCTTTTGTTTCTAACAAAGTATTCGGAATATAATAGGAACTCTATTAAAAATTTGTCCAATGAGGGCTGGGGTTGTGGCTCAGTGATAAAGAGCTTGTCGAGCACATGTGAGGCACTGGGTTCAATTCTCAGCACCACATATAAATAAATAAATAAAATAAAGGTCCATCAACTCTGTGTGTGTGTGTGTGTGTGTGTGTGTGTGTGTGTGTGAATCTGTCCAATGAGTGAATGGGAAATATCCACTAGGATCAGTTTGTGGAATGAGTCATATATCAGAAAAGAAAGCTGAGCCAGGTACTGTGGCACATGCCTGTAATCTCAGCAATATGGGGGGCTGAGGCAGGAGGGTCACAAGTTCAAGGTCAACCCCAGCAGCTTGGCGAGATCCTGGGGATGGGGATGTAGCTCAGTGGTAAAGCAGCCATGAGTTCAATCTTCCATATAGAAAGAAAAGAAAAGAGAGGAAGGAAGGAGGGACATAAGGAAGAGGATTCTTTTAGGAGAAAATTATACAGCATCAACTGATATTAACTTTTAAAATTTTCCAAGAAATATACTTTTTAAAGTCTTCATAAACTTTAGGAATCAGGAAAAAGGACTGGAAGTGTAGCTCAATGGTAGAACACTTGCCTAGCATGTGTGAGGCCCTGGGTTTAATCCCCAGAACTGGCGGTGGTGGTGGGGAAGTATCAGGAAAAAAAAACAGGTTGACAAATGAGGCATTTTCCAAATAATGGCCATAATCTTGCCATTATTTTCAACAATTCAGGAGCTGAACATGGAGTTTACATAGAAGCTAGAAACAGCCACTGATATACTTTTGTTGACAACCTATCAAACCACATATATCTTTTTTTTAAATTTTTTAAATGAACAAGGTGCTTCATTGAGGCACATAGTATCATAATATGATGGAATTCTGAATTAATCAGAATAGACAAAGTTATACTGAGCTAACAGATTAGTCCTGATTTTTCTGTGGCTAAACACACACAAATATTTATTTCTTTTTCATGCTCTATATCTGACATGGATCATAGAGGAGCTTTGTAGCACATAGATATATTCAGGGACTTGGGTTGACAGACACATCCGCTTTTTTATCCCACATTTTTTATTGGTGCCTTATAGTTGTACATAGATGGGATCTGTTGTTACATATTCTTACATGCATATGATATAGCAATGTAATTTGACCAATATCACTCCCAGTGCTTCCTCTCTTCTCTCCTTCTTCCACCCTCTTAGACCCTTTCTTCTACAGATGTCCTTTGGTTCTTAGGAGATTACCCACACCTTTGTTATGAGAGAAAATATGACCCTTACCTCTGAGTTTGACCTATTTTGCTTAACATGATGGTCTCTATTCCATCCATTTTCCTGCAAATGCCATAATTTCATTTGTCTTCATGGCTGAATAAAACTCCATTGTGTATATATACCACATTTTCTTTTATCCATTCATCCATTGATGGACACCTAGGCTGGTTCCATAGTTAGACACATTCACTTTGACACGTGAGTTCATGATTGCTGAGGCTGATTAAAGCAATGGAGGATCTTAAGGTAGTTCTTAGGTGCAATCTGCACTCATTGTCTAGAGCTACCTACATGGCCCTATCCAACTGCAAAGACAATGAGAAATGTGGGACACACATGGATAGTTAGTGAGTAGACCCTGCTTACAATACTGTGCACACTGGCCTCTTCCCTCAATCATGCAGTCTCCTAGATGATCTTACGCATTGTACAGATCTTTCTTATATCTTTCTTATGTCTTGGACCTTTCCTCCGAGCTCCTCATTCATTTATCTGAATACCTACTCAACATCACCACTTGGCTCCTTGATAGATATTTCAAGCTGACTTTGTTCCCACAGAACTTTTGATTTTTTTTTTAAACTCCAAAGACTGCTTCTCTTTCTCATCTTAGCAAATGGCAATACCAGCTACACAGTTGCTCATGTAATCCTTGATTCTTTACCTTAACCTAACAATCCCCATAAAATTCATCACTAATGAAATGACTGCTGGACTTTTACTCTGATTTTCAAATAAAAACTCAACTCTAGTCTTTACTGAGATAAGCCAAGTGTAAAATGTCCAATTTACTTGGAACATGGACTATGGGAAGAGAATGTAGTTTGGAGTCAGCTTCTTGAGTATTTAGATACTTTCAACAGGGGGACAAAGGTGTAGCTCGGTGGTAGAGCACTTTCTTAGCATGGGTAGATCCCTAGGGTTTGATTCACAGCACTACCAAAAAAGAAAAAAGAAAGAAAGTAAAAAGAAACTTCGACAATAACTGTGTTAGTCAGCTTTGCATCACTATGACAAAATACCCGAGATAAACACTTATACAGAGGAAAGCTTTTCTTTGTTCATTCAAAGGTTTCAGTCCATGGTTACTTGACTCTGTTGCTTTGGGTCTATAGTAATATAGTACATCATGGTGAGAACATGTTTCAGAGGAAGCAAAGAGAGACAGGAAGGGGACAGGGTTTTAATATTCCCTTTACAGGCAATATAACCCCAATAACCTAACTTCCTCCCACTGTGTCCCATCTCCTAAAGGTTTTACCACATTCCAGCATCAAAGACGGCCTGAAAACCAAGCTTTGAACACATGGACCTTCGAGGGACATTCAAGATGCAGACTATAGCAATAGTGTGAGATTAACTACATCGTGACCAAATGCTTGTCTATTGGTTACTCACAGTGTGTGTGACGTTGATATTCATCTTGTTTATCAGTTTTTAAAGCTGAAAGGTTTTTTTCCCCACAGATATTGTTCTGATGGTAAGACTGAGAGTTCTAAGCCCAAATCTCTAGAACTTTAGATTTTTAAAGTGTGCATCTTTGACGTGTTAGGAGATTTGCTTTGTGAACTACTAGTCCA